TAGATCGGGTCTGGCCCAGAGAGAGTCGTCGGCTTTCAGAAAACCAACGTGCCATTAGCGGCCGGTCTCCCTCGTCCGCTCGTCAATATCCCAGCATGCACGCAGGCGGGCCTCAACGCCGGTAAATAATGCGCCACGAGAGGGTGTGCCCTGTGAGACAAAGGGAAGAACTCGGCCCCCTTTTGTTTTCTCCCGTAGATCCTGACGTCGTAATCGCGTCGCCCGTTTCCTGGATCTTAGCTCGTATCGCGAGGCCGAGAAGCCTCGTATAATCCTTTTTATCGCCAGCAGGCAATTATCTTGTGTCATGGGCAACTTCCGGGAAATTAAAATTGAGAAAAAATACATAATGTACGATTGTGAAATATACGACTTTTAGTTTCGGTATCTGCCCCAGGGAATCCCTCTCGATTAGATTAATGGCATTAATACTATAGCGAGAATCACGCTCTCATAGTTTCTCATTGTTCATAATTTCCAGCGATATCGGACAAGAGATTCCGTAAATGTATGAAAATGTGTCGGCATCGATGAAACGAATAAGCGAGTTAAAAGTAATCGTATAAAGATCGCAGGTAAAACGATCATAAAAAGCTGACGGTAGCTATAAAAAGGACAATCAAATCTTCAACTATCTTCTCAGTCCATATACTGCCCAATAATGTAAGAATACCATCCAAACGATGGAACGAACTGCCCGCATCGTTCGAGTAGATGAAATTTATGACTGGCGCGAGTTTTATACGTGGAATGCCAGAGATTTGTCGGACAACTTATCGATTCCATTAAGTACTATTAGCGAAGCGGATTATAAGAGAGACGTAGATATGAAAGAACTGAACTCTAGGCACGCTTACCTGCCTAAGCATACCTCTCGGTCGAAAGGTGGATGTATTTGTTTTAGGAGGGCTCCAAAGGACAGAAAGATCCTGCGTGCCAGATAAAGGATCTTGGTCGAAGGTTCTCTTTCTCTTCGCGCGCGGTCTATCCTCGAATATTTCGAATGCATCGACTGGACAAGGCATATTCATCTTCTATGTTTCTTGGCCCCACCGATATCTTCGTGAAACCTCTGAAACGTCTAGGGTACGTCGAGCGAACATTTTTCATCTTGCTCTTTCTTTTCTGGTTTTTTCCTTGTTTTCCTGCTCCTGCTTTGGGTCCTTTTTTTACGAGAAATGGAACAAGCTCGAATTTCACTCGTGGGGTCTTCGAAGAGACTCGTAATTCTAGATGGTCGACATCGATTTTCCTCTTGAAAATTAATGGATACGTTGACACACGCAAAAAAACCATATTCCACTCTACTGAATTTCCTACGATTTTACCGCATGTCAATTTCATCGATGCGATCAGCATGTTAAATGAATCGTGCCGCGTTTCTATCTCGACTTATATATTTTTTTAATAAATTTTTATTTCATTTTGAGGCTCTTGTTATATAAGAAAAATTTTACATTTTTATTTCATAAATGTAATAAAGAAAATATGCATAAATGATATTATAAATATATTTATCTTTGAAAATATTTATAAATATGTACACACAAGCTGCAGATTATTTTTATATTTTAGGATATTATATTTTAAGAGAGAAATTTCTCTCGCACACTCAAAATCTGTTTTATATTTTAATCATCTCGCGGATTCTCATAACAAAATTTTTATACATATTTAGGTATATACAAAATACGAATTTTTATATTTATGTAAACCGGCTTGCCTTTCTCACCCCCGATTCGATTCGACCATAGAATTTCTCGTCTGGTTTTCTCAAGGGAAGAACGATACGGGAGCGGCGGCATCTTCGAGTTCAGTTGACCTCCTGGCGAAACGAAACGACCTTACAAGAGTTTCCTCTTAAGAAAAGCAACCCACGAGAGCGAATACAAGAATCTGAGAAAAAAATATTCTACGGCTTGTCGGCCGAACCTTCAACGAGGTACTTCTGGGTGAATTCCGCACGAGGAAGAGACTCGTTATATATCTGAGTCTCGAAATGTACGTTGGTAATTTTTTTATTTTCCGGTTGATAAGGACCGATTTCCGGCGCGTTTTTTTTAGAGAACGATTATATTTTGACGATAGTGCCGCATATCATGACGTACCAAAAAGGAACTTTTAAATGTGAAACGATTTCTGGGCGTCATATGCAATTGAGACTTTTTAGAATGAATGCATAACATATGTTACGTGATTGGGAAAATTAATTTTCTACAATCATTCTAAAAATTACAGAACTGATCACTATTAAGAATATCGTGAAAATATACATACAATTTTATATCGATAAAAAGTATATCAATAAATGTATATGTCAAACGAAAACAAACAAAAATAAGAGTATTTGTTCATAACTGCAAAATAATAGATAATCTCTGCGATTTCTTATGATAATAAACATATGCTTATTAAGCGCAGTCATCGCACATTAAATACTCATGAAATTATCATTTATTGATGATTCGCTACCATGTCTCTTTCGAGAAGCGTTATAACATTTCGAAGAGAAAGGAATTCAATAGAATCGGATGCAAGATCGTCGGAGGACCCGACAATCATTTGGAAGGACTGTATCATGGTCCAGGCATATTCACCCCCCGCTGTTAAGCAGCTTCGTGGCGGCAGACGGGAGGGGGTGTGGCACATGAAACACCCTTTGGGATCCTGTGGTCATCCCCGGCCGTCGGCAGCCTTTAAAGCTCCGTGCACAACGAACGTGGCATTATGCAGACTCAAGGCTACACGGGCCGTTACGGAACCGCCCCGTAATGGGATAAAAATAACCGTGTTTATATAGGATTACGAAGCGATCATCTTCTCCATTCGAGACTCTACGTAAAGTTATGACAAAGGGGGTTTGATGGAAGGGTACAATTTTTCATCTCTCTCTTACTCGCTATATTACTGTCTATCAAGAAGGACTTTCATTTCATCGATTAGAAATCCTATAACAGAGGAATATGGACGAAACACGTGCCGTATCGTGTTACCATATTATCAAGATCAGACACGAGAGTGTCTCAATAATTATGAATAGCGAATGTATATGATACATACAGACAACGATATTCTAATAATAGCGGGAATAAAAACACGCATGCAGAATTTTCGCTTGCTTCAAATCTTAATTAATTAATATTTTATACATGCACACAAATATATTTTTAAAAATTATGGGGATATTTATATATTTATAAATATTTGAAGTATTGGTTTATTTTTAATATTACATTTTTCTGTCTCTCTAATTTAAAACTTCGTATTTAAACTTTTATATATTGAATTTAAGTAGGAGGAAAATCCAGCATTTTCTACTTATGTTCGATATTATGAATATTTGACGTAGATTCTGAGATAATATTTAAGAAGAAAATAAATAAAGTACAAGAAAGATTCGAAATCGAATGAAATATTGATCGATCAATTAGAGCTCAAATGAAAAGGTCTTTATCACTCGATAATGAAGATATTTAAAATTAAAGACAATATTCTTCGTGGCAATCTATTTTTGCAGAACTAATCTCTTCGAAACTCGCTATCCCCTTGCACGCTCTCTGACATTCTCTTCGACCTAGGGTAGAAAAAGGGAAAGGGAGGGAGGAGGAAGGCGATATCGATGAAACTTGTATGTTTGTCTTTGTAACGCGTGCGTTAACGAGATACATCGCGAGGTTGGATATCGAGGATTATTTGATTACAATCTCACAAATTTGCATGAATTTACTTGTCGGAAATCCCTCACCGGTTAGCGATTCTCTCTCTCTCTCTCTCTCTCTCTCTCTCTCTCTCTCTCTCTCTTCTCTGTACTATGATCACAATACTATCTGTCTATCTTTTTGGTAAACCGAATCGATCAGCGGTCAGGGAAAAAGGGACAAAACTGGAATGGGAGACGCATGAAAATGAACATTATTAAATTGTTGTACGATAATGTGAAACCCAGCCATATAAATTGACTAATTTGACAACGTTGAATTAGGCGCGACGGGCTGGGACTGGGACATCAGATTGATCAAGATCAAACTAAAACGCGTTTGTTGTACCCGATTCCACGAGTATACGTATATACAGTCCAGTGACGAGGTTAAATTTGTATGTTAATAATGGGTTTGTTTGCGGTGTCCATCTCGACAGTCAATATTTATTTATCGAACGTTGTGATACAAGTACGTGCTACGTCGCGCTGACGAGCAGGAAAAAAACGAAGATGGGTAAAAAGGTCACTGTAAATAAATGGCCGGTGTATTTATTTGGCGGAAAAAAAAACAAATTTATGCATCAACCAGAAAAATGTAGATTCTATATATATATATATATATATTCTTAACTTGAATCCCTGTCAAAAAGTAAAAAGGATAGCTTTTCAATTTTCCAGATTTTGCCTTTTCCCGCGGACTTTTCTCTCCCCTACAATAGGGACTAGAAATCAAGCAGGCAACATTTTTTTTTAGTTTAATATACGAGTTTCGTGCGGTCGTTAATTCAATTTGTCCACGAAATATTCACAAGTTTAACGCGCAAAATATTCTCCGTCGAATTACTCGCGGTCTCATCATACATTTCTAACGTGCGTGCGCGTAACCAAATCAAATGCTCGAAAATTCGGCGGCGGCGTCCCTCGAGTAATCGGGGAAACAAGCAGCATGGACAAACATTCCTCCTGCGAGGTACCGTCCGCGACAACCGGATGGGATAAATATTTAACAAAGTCTGCGGCCATCTCTCTGTACACGGGGCTATATACTCCGTCTCGTGCGGCAGTTCGGACAGCACTCTGCGGCATCCGCGTGTGCAGCAACGAACAGCATCCATGCGCTCCCACCACGCGCTCTTTTCCTCTTAGCTGCCTCTCCGCCTCCGCCGATACCTACACCATCACGGCATCGCCTCTACCGCTATTACCACCACCCGCCGTCCGCTGTACCTCCACCACTGTCGTCAGCGACCTCCACCACGTTCGCCCAGCACCGGCGCCCAAGAGGCGAAGGGCCCCGGCATCTCCGCGCTACGCGTCAGTTGGCCGACATGAGCCGCGCGTGCTGGGGCTCCCGGTGTTTATCCGCTCTTAACGGCTAATCCCGAAGCGTACCCTCGTATATCGGGACGCGCGCGTGCACGTACCCGCTCGTGAAACGTACACGAGGGGCGAAAACGACGTTTCTCACAGTTCGTACCTGCGGGGAGATTTTTTTCACGTACGGACCTCTTCTCCAGCTACGATTTTTAACGGCGTGAATAGCTTCCTCGTGACGGGAAGATCTGTGTTCTTTGTCGCGCGTTTTGCCAGGATCACGATTACGAAGGGATCGCGAGCGAGATCGATGTGAAATAGTTTACCCCCCGAATTGGCAAACGAATATCGATAATTCGTGGTCCGGGAGTGAGGAATGACGTTACGACGTACGGTGTAACGAACTTACGACGATGATAACGCCAGTGTCAGTGCAGTGGGGTTAAAGTGCCAGCCGGTTTATGGATAACCACGCTTCACTGATTGGCTGCACGAGTAAGTGTTATCATTAGTTGCGTAATGCGTCGTGTAGCGAATTTTTCTTGTATCACGTCGACCTAGGAAATGCGTCCCGATAATGTATGTAAAATAACGCTTTTCGTCGAAACGTGCGCGGAATACCGTTCGTAAAATGCAAATATCTCATGGGAATAACATTACAATAATTTCACAAAACTGTGCGAAATAAAATAATAAAATTTGGACACCGTGTATTATGACATTTTGTCGTAATTTTAATGTCAATTCAGTGAAAAGATTAAAATTGAAAAAATATTTTCTTTAAAACATCAAATATTTTATCATGTATTTGTAAGCATAATTTTTTTTAATACAATTTAAACGCTTAATTTTTTTTAATACAATTTAAACGCTTAAATGCGTCGCCTTTAAACGTGATTTAAATGCTTAAACGCTGGCAGTCTCTCGCGACATTTCAGACGACTAATCGAGATAATTCATTATATATGCTCTCCAGCGACTACGAATATTTCCGATTCATTCCGGTGACTGCACATTTTCAAAAGCCCGCTAGGGACCAAATCGAAAGATGAACGTTAGCATTTAACCCCTGCATTCCCGCTGGGTTGCATCCACACCGTACAAAAGTCTCCGGGAGCCTATTAAAAACTCGCGTCTCTATCATAAACTCGTGGCTCGTCGAGCCAAGTTTCGTTCCCTCTTCGTGTATTCGGCCTCTTCCAAAATACCGGTTGTTACGAAGCGCGACTCGGTGATCGCTTTCCGATATCAACTACCGGATTTGCGCGAAACGACTATAATCTTCAACCCCCCGCTACTGCTCTGGCGGATTTGAGCACGCCGTCATATTACAGGTCTGCGCATTAAATGAATAAAGTCGTTGAGAAAAAAATTATACGAGCGGCATTAACTCGATACACATTATTACTTGTTGCTTCATCGGTGCCATGTTTATATCGCTCTTTTATGCCGGCATAAAAGTGTAAAACTTGACCGGAGGAGCAAAATATCCGAGACATTTTAAGGTGTATTTTAAGAATTATCTTAAATCCCACTTTCCTTCCCAGTCTTGCTAGATAAATGAAAATACACGCGAAATAAAAATAAAATAACGTCGAATACGATAAATGGCTCCCGGGCGATCGGTAAACCTACAGAGACTGCGCGCGAGGAGAAAGAGTACGCGTAATCATAAAGTATCCTCCCGTATGCACCATGGAATAAAGATTTACAAGTACTCGGGGGCACTTACTAGGATTACGTGTACGGGAGCACGTTCTTCGATACGACTTAATGGCAGCAATAAGTTGTCGGCGATTTATGTCGCGTATATGCCTCCCGTATCTTTTACCCTTTAAAATTTCGTACCATTGCCGCTACCTATCGCGCATCTACTCGTAAATACGCGAAATGCGTGTCTTTGGAGAGAAGTTCCCCGAAGATGTAGAGATTACACGCGATTCGCAATAATACATCGCTATTACATCGGCTAGATCGTTGATGGTGATTTGCACAACGATCGATTCAATCACGGCCTTTTCGACGGTTATCCCGGTAGAACGATGTTATCACGATCCGTTTTGCGGGCTTATAACGAGGAAAACGACGCTGTAAGCACGGCATTATCCTCAACAAATCGGTAACATTATGCTTCCAACTATTTACGGCATTTATTGGCTGTGAATCGTTAGTCGTGACACTCACGACCTCACAATCGCTCGTAAAGATCGCGTCTTTGTGGCACGAATAAATCTCTCGGAATGGAAAACGCTCGACACAGCGCACTCGTTCACTGAACGAGCGTCGTTAATTAATAATATCGCGCTATCTCTTTAAACTGCGACGGTAGAATGTATTAATCATATTAATGGCACCGTACATTAATAATTACCGCTTTGTTCCATTTCGCGCCTGTCATGCCCGTTGAAACAATTTCATACGCGTATCATACGCAGTAAAATGTTATACTAATTATACGCTCATAAATTTTGCGATAATAAATCGCGAAAAAATGCTAAATAAACGATAGAAAGTTTCTCTCTCGCGTTTTACTATCCTATCGCAAAACTTTATATCGATCGGAGAGCTAAATCTGTGGATCGATGTTTGCGATCTTGAATAGCGACGTAAGATCGTTATAAATAACTCTGGAACGCGATGGCGATGTGATCTCAAAACGATTACAAGAGAACAGATCCGGCCGTTGACTAAACATTTCGATCGATCACGTTGATGTGGTACTTGTCGATTGAAAGGAGGAGAGACCTTATATTTGACTCGGAGACACTATTAAACGACACGATAAACTGATCCGTTCCCAGCCTCATAATGATGACTACAACGTGGAAAAGGGCCCTCGAAAATAATGAAGCGCAGCGAGGCGCCTTATGCCTTATGGATCCCTTTATTTCTGCCTTTACCGCGTTCGTAAATACACTGATGCGAGCGTGACACGCGCGCGCTTCTTTGAATGTTGCCGTCACCGACGGTTTGCCTCTCGACCAACGTTGCCTTCCTTCTTCATCCGCGCCGGTTCCGTAACGCCGCGCTTTCAACTTCCGCTCTTTCTCGAGTAACAAAAAATAATTACAAAGGAAATAACTTTGCGTTTCTCTTACAAGATGCTCGCTGTGATTTTGCGGACACGTACGCGTATGAAAGCAACGAATTTAAATTACTAAAGACACTTTTTCTACAAAAAAGCAACTCAACAAATCTTGATGAAAAATGTACACCGTGTATGAGATAGTACGCGCGTTTTATGCATGAGATGTATAAAAATACTAGATTTTTCATCATCTGCTTTTCAACCTTAATAATGAATTAAGTAATAATCCAATAAAATTGTTTGCAATTTTATCAACAATGATTTGAAGATATTTATCGATCGGTGGATTTGCCGTTTTCCTCGCTTCCTCCGAACGTGCAATTTCAGCTTCATCGGACGCTTCGTAATGCGTTCGTTGAAATTCTCCCCTCCCGCTCCCTCCGCCATGAATAAAAATATCATGTCGGGATATTCTGGAGTGAAACTATTACGCGAAACCTACACTCTCGAATCTCCACGGGATCCGCGTAGAGGCCAGCCGTGGTCGGCCCGATACGTACTCCCGGCAAGTTAATACGCCATTCACACGCGATATTATTCGCGGAAGGGTATACATTCGTGCGCATTGGTCACGTTCGTGTCGGGGCCGACGATTTTATGCCGACGTCTATCATTTTACGTCGCCGCCGCCGGCGTCTTCGTCGAACGTTTCTCACCCCTGGCGCGCGCGTTTCCCGACTTCCGTTCGCGCTTGTACGTACGATGATATGCCATACGTGCCCGGTCGTCGAGTTCGCCGAGGAAGACAGGAAACTCGTACGTACGTGCTACGAGTGCGTGAACCGACCAGCGCTCAATGACTGCCGGTGACTATGGCATGATACCCCGCCGCGCTTCCCCGTGCTTCGACCATTAAAAACTCGGTACCGTTTCGCCTCGTCCTTCGTTATCGCGCCGTCAGGATCAATGAAGCCCGGGCTGCCACGCAGGACGCGTGTATCGCGGTCTCGATCAGCTCGCAGGAAACAGCGTTGCTGCATCGGCTCGAGAGGAGAATCGGCGTCATCGAAAGAGGGCCCACCTGGCACGCGCAGGGTCCCATCTGCGACGGTCGATTCATTCGGGGCCTCCGTGAGAACACGAAGCGCCTACCTGCCTCGAAGGGACGCACAAAAGGGACCCGGGGCCCGGTGTCCCTATGCGAAAAATATATTCACGCGTCGACGAATTTCTGCGGTGGCGAAACGCGATCGTGTCTTGGAGAGCGCGCTGACCGATCGATCGCGCGATCGATCTTTAAGGGACCGCTGGCTCGATGTGACGTAATCTGATCGAGGAACACGAACGATACAAATCGAGAAACTCGATGAAGATGCCGATTCAACGGCAGATGTTACGCGCTCTATAAGATTATTCGATTGATCGATAACGGTGTCGAGCGATGATCTTTAAAGAGTTAATGTATGAACGGGAAGCACACGAGATGAAGATGATAAAGACACGCAATTTCGTTTCATTCAAGTCATAAATCTTGAAATACTTTTATATACCTCCCGAATGTAGCGATAAAACCACATGAATAAAATGCATTTGAACGACAGCTATACCATCCGCTTTTTTAGATAATTCTATAGTTTATAATAAAGATTACAAAGTCGAGAGAAAGACCGCAACGCCCATCGCAAACAGTTTCACGCCGCTTTTATAGGAGCGTTATCGAGGATTCCTTATCGACGCGAGTAAAATTGACGAATTTTACAGAGGCCAGGAAGCCCTTTATCGTTCTTTACACGACGTAATAGCCGAAGGCGTCAAACGCCTGAAAAATCTTGGCGCGCGCGAAAGGAGCATCCTTCTCGTTTACGTCCACCGATATGTGCGGTCGCGTCCTCGTTTTCTCGCATAGCGGCTTTCGTCATATATCGCGCGCGTAGCTCCATCGCGATACCGAGGGATATCTCGCCCGAGGCGCCTCTAGTCGCACATTGTACTTTATATTCATGCAAAAACGTCAAATAACTTCCAGGCGCGGTGTTTGCCTCGTCGGCCAAAAGCCGGCGCGGAAAAGCGACGTTTGATCCTTCATCCAAAGTCCGGGGAAACTTGCGCCGCCGCCATCGTCGACGTGCCCGGCGCGATCCGCGTCTCCGCGATATATTTTCAGCCCGTTCCACCCTTTTTGGCGTTCCTGTTTGCGAGATGACTACGCGCAAAAGAGCCGTAGCAGCACGTTACTCGGCTCTGTGCGCGGGCGATGAAACGATCAAAGAGCAAAGGGGGACGGTGTATTTCGGTGTTTGGTCGAGCGTGCGGAGCCGACGACGTCGAGGCGATGCCCGATTTTCGAAATGCCCTCGAGAGGAGTGCACCTAGGACTGCCAAGGGTCGATCGGGAAAAACTCCTTGGCCGCGGTCGGGATCCTTTGATCCCGTTTCCGTGTTGCAAGTTGTAAAGATCCTTTTGTTACCGGATGCCCGGAATCGTGACGACACCGTTGCTTCTCCCCCTCGCGCGCAAAGTAATCGCAGAGTTCATGAATACCGCGACGCTTGATTTCACGGATTGCACTCTTTTAAATCCCTCTCGCAAGGCCTTTTGATCTCCCGAGTTATTACGTTTACTTTACGTTGGAAGCCGAAGCACGCGCCAAAGTTTTACTGGAATACGCAAGGTTGGCGCGAGATAAATATCCTTGATACCCTCACGAACAGATAACTTATGTTGCGATCTCTCTCTCTTTTTCTCTTCTACAAAGATCTCATTGTGAATTATCGATTTTGAAATCGCAAGTGTAATAAGCCCGGCAAAGCAACCTTTCTTACGTGATACGATAGGGTATCGCAAAAATGAAGAGGTCAGTGACTACGTTAGTAAGAAATATCGAGGCCGCGAGAAAAAAGCGAATTATTCCTACAAACCGCAAGCAATAGGATTCATCCCGTTACAGACCATTAATAACCGCTGGAAATCGATAACCACATCAGCACATCTTTGAACACCTGCAAATATCTCTCTCCTAACAATACAATTGCTTTTAAAACCGCTGCAGCACGGTGCCTCAAAGAAGCGCACAAATGGAATCCCTTTGCCGCAGGTAGTCACGAATTTGTATACGTTCACGAAGTCGCAGGTTTCCACTCCCGTCAAGTCGGGTCTCGCTCTCGACTCGCTTCTCTCTCTCTCTTTTCTCTCAGACCACGAAAAAACCAAACCACATATATATCTATGGGAGAGAAAAAAACGTACGCGACACGATAAGATCGATCTGATGGAAATAAAAAACCGCGATAATCTATCCTTGATTGAGGAGGATTCAGATCTTGCGCGGATAAGGCGCGCGACCGATCGAGTTTGTGTGACTAGACGCATCTGCCCGTTGGCTAAATAACAGCCAGCGAGAGAAGAAGGACCGGTATCTGGAGGAATCTACGAGAACGTCGGGAAAGAGAGAGAGAGAAAGAAGACGATGGATACAAGCACGAGGGAAGAGACACGAGAGGAAGAGGCAGCGCGCGCGGCTAAGGAAAAGAAAGGCGATATCCTCTACGTGCGGTCTATAAAGACGCTGCGCGAACCCACATCCCCGCGGCCGCCGCCCCGCGGGGGAGGTTGACATGTTTATTTCGCTCCGTAATCTTCTCGGATTACGTTACGGAGCGAGAGAGACGGATGCAAAGTGGAGGGAAACGAACCGAAGGAACACGGGCCCTCGGCGAGGAGTTCTGGATGATATTCGCGGCTCGATGTGTGTTCCGAGGGAATCTCCTGCGGTTGTCGGTACATCCTTGAGGAATGTTCGCGCAGTTTACGCGGATTAGTTTCGCGAACGCTCGTGATATTCCGCGGAAACCACGTTGCCCATGTTTACCAAATGCAAACGACCGGAAGCAATAGACGAAAAGAATTATTTCTGTCATTTATATCTGTGCAAAAAAAAACATAGGAACTAAAATATTTTAAAACTTCGGGACAAACATATATTTTAATACTTTAGGACGATTATAACGGAATAAAAACCTATTCGTTTAATTGTCAAGAATTAAGACGTTGGAATTTATGTCTGACATTTCTAATCCAGGATGATCGTCGTTTATCTCTGCCCGACGAATCTTAAATTATTGAGAACAACTGACTCTTCTAATATTTATATCCGCATTTATAATATATTTCTCTGGCACGATTATTTCCAGAACATAACGCTCGTATCCATCGAAAATTCCCCGAAAGTATGAGCGATATATCACACGTGTACATTTCCTGACCTGACCCTTCTGAAAGGCGACCGCATCGAGAACCGGTAGCTGTATTCTTTTGACTAGGGTCCAGTTTGGTAGTCGCTCTACCTGTTGTCATACGATATTCAAGATGCATCATTTAAGCCGCTCTTGTGTCGCGCTCGCCTTCTAGTTGTTACGAAAAAGGGTATCATCTTCGCTCGCTTTAGTTGCAAACGCCGACATTGCGGCGATATTGCACCAGAAGACACTGCGGCTTACCTAGGCATGTTCAACAAAAGGTAGAAAGAATTGTAGCCAGCTTTCCTCTGGCTTTTCCAACCAAATGGAACCCGGGACAAGAGGATTCGTGCCAACTGCAGCGTAAAATGCCATGTGGCGGTCACGTTGAGTGTTTTTAAACCTTTGCATGGATAATGGCGGGCACGTTTATAAATTGAATTCTCGTCCCGCGGGATTAGGACGAACTCTCGAGATGAGAAATCTGTCTATAGCTCAGCGATGTATGCAGTTATAATGCGCGTGTTGCATCGATTATTCCACGTCATGAATCTTGGAGAGCATTTTCGGCCCCGGTGTCGTACAGTAATTTCATCGATATTCCAAAAGCTATTGTTGATCGAAAAGATGAAAAGCGAACAGATTCAATCACGCTGGAATTAAAAAAAAATATTCGCTTACGTTAAGAATTTATTACGAAATTATATATATTTTTGTTATATGTATATGTTGTTGTATTTTTGTATTATATATATTTCATGTGTGGAAAAGTTAATTGAAATAATATATCGTAGTGTGTTAAAAACAACATTGTAAACTCGATTAATTTGCGAGGTATCGCTTTAAATGGCGAGTAAATTATGTTATCGCGATTATATATCCGGAGAGCAAAAAGACTCTATCGCCAACACGGAACTTAAAAAGGCGGCTCGCCATTTCTTTTTTTTACCGCACGCGAAATTTCACCTTTGCGTTTGCTCACGAGAAAGCTGCTGTACAATAGCGCTTACGGATGTAATCGAGCATCTAGCGAAAGACCTTGACGAACGACATTGATAAACGATCTCTTAGTTGCGTTTCAACTAACCGACTAGGATCGTATAACAGCTTGGTACTAACAAGCTTTGCACATACGCACGCTAGATAGGTGTGTGGGTGCTCTCGCAATTGTAAGTTTCTGCGCGAATTTTGTTGCATGATATGCGCACATCGCGTGGATTTTAAGCATCTCGCTGGGAGTTTAAAGTATCGATCGATAAGAGCGAGGGTAATTCTCGCGTAACATTCGAGGTGTAATGCCCTACGAGCGGCGATGTTATTTAAGCGTAAATGTAGATTAATATGCGCGACGAAATATACGTTACTGAAACTTCGTTGTAAAGCGATGCGTTTCGCAGGCAATATATTTAGAGATAAACTCGATGAAATCTCATTACACCAAGTTGACTCGTACTTTATCATTGACCCTACTTTTAAACGCATCGAGTTTTTTAAATTTTCCATCCACGACTAATAATTTTATATATATAAAAGAGATACGATATATTTAACAATGTTATTTATAATTATTTACAATTTAATTGATTAATAATTTTATTTAGAAATGTATTAAATAAATATATAAATGATATATATTTTATATATCATTATATATAATAAATTTTGTTTATATAAGAAAAGTCATACTTTCGACAGACGAATCACGCTTAATAATTAATTTCGACGGCTATCGATCGGAATCCGTCCTCCGAAGAAACAGCAGGTCTCGCGTTCGAGGGAGCTATCGAAACATAAGGGGAAATTACGCCCTCTCCCTTGGCTTTCCTTTCACGGTAGCAACGACTGGAAATGAAGGCGCCGCGAGGAAATTTTGCGTGCTGGAAAGTGTCTGCCGCCGTTGGAATATTTAAAAGCCAAGGGCCGCCAGCCACGTCATAAGTGGCACTCTCGACTTTCCTCTAACCGTCTCTTACGCTTTCCGGTAGAAACAACGTCGCGGCGACCCGATCGACGTTAAAACCATTTCACCTGGATACTTCTTCGCCCCGTTGCGTGCGAGATGGAATTTTCATTCTGCGCAAATATATTATACGTTTCGTACGTTACGTAGTAAGAAGCAAAGTAGGTTGCCTTATCGTATTTCTCGAAATTGCTCAAAGTCGCGCGAATTTTACTTATGCTCTTTTAGTCCATGATTTGCGGCGCGCACGATTATATTTCGCGTTCGCGGAAAACTATTTTCGTGTTAACGAGAAAGCCAGATGTGTTGAAATTGTTGAATTAATCGATCGTTGTTTCTCGTTTGTGTTGCAGGTGCGGGCTCGTAGCAAGCCGACGAGTGACCAGTGTTGTGTCGAGTGGCACCGAGTGACGGTATTTAAGTGTGATTCGCGATCGTTCCTTTGCACGAGAGATGAACGAATGATCGGACCGCGGTGATCCCTGATACGCGATGAGGCCGAAATCTTGCTCGCTGTTTCTCTTGTTCTGCGTTCTTCTACCCGGAGTGGTTCGTCCCTTCACGTCCGGCGAAGGTAAGTTAAAGAGAATTAAATCTCGAAATTATATATGCAAAATTCTTGTGTGTGTGTATCTGTGTACATTTATATGGAAAGCTGCGCCATGCTCTCTCGTAAAACTTCAGGCTAGCTGTGTCAAGGCAGTTGAGGAAGAGATCTCGTGGAAGATCGTTAAGTTTGCCATTTAACTCATGCGGAGAACCTATAATGATCTCCCATTCCCGTGGATACCAAGAGCCGTGCAGCTCAAGTATTCTCGCTCGAGGTACTCGCGCCAAACGCAATGTCCGAGTACTACTTTACGCGAGTCCTTCTACCGGACGCAGGCGCCGGAGAAATGCGCGAGAGAAATTACTATGAGACTGTAAATTACGTTGCGTCGTTGATGGAACGATCACCGGTCGCGTTAATTTGCCTTCAGACTCGAGACGTTTTACATATATTTTTATTTTGCGATTGACAAAAGGGAAGAAATAAAAAGAAAATGAGGAGAAAATACGGAAGTATTTTTAATAACAGCGTGACGATGGTAAACGCGACAAGCCACTTGAAAATATCATCCGCCAATTTCTGGATCTCCTCGGAGCGAGACGTAATACAGGGTGTTTCATAAGTGGTGGGCAAAATTTCAGGAATGGATTCCTCATGCTTAGAGAAGAAAAAAAAAGTTAATCAACACAGGTCCGGAAATGATTAATTGAAAAAAATGATTAGTATTAAGATTTTTGTAATGTAAAATTTCGTCTCATTTCTCGCCTTAGAAGTCCTTTTATAGGCATCAAAAATGTTTCTCAAGTTCGACGGCCTGAAAAACATTGTTGATGCCTGTAAAAGGATTTCTAAGACGAGAAATGAGACAAAATTTTGTATTACAAAAATTTTAATAAAAAACTAATCATTTCCGGACCTACGTTGATTAACTTTTTATTCTTCTCTAAGCATGAGGAATCCATTCCTGAAATTTTGCCCACCACTTATGAAACACCCTGTATATCCAGATGATTCAGGTGTTTCACTAACGATCGCGAGCGGGAAATGAAAACAGAGGTATATGCCTTTTGCGGGTTGCAGCGAGGAAGGAAAGTCGAGCGTTGCGGGCTAGAGAGATATACGAGCACACACAAGCGTTACGAATACGCGCGGGAATATCCGTCGCGGGAACGAGATCGGGAGAGACTGCTAATTATACAGCGAGGCAGTCTGACTGATTAGTCGTCGGCATAACTGGCCGGTTACGTTACACCAGCCCGTTTTCGATGATGGATTGTACTCTCCCCGAGAGTTACTTTTGAGAGCGACCTCCTGGAACTATAACCCCTCGTGCTCTTCTTTCTTCAGTCTTCTCCTCTCACGAAGGGACACGTGGTCGACTAATTAGCGCTCCCGACGTATCCTCGTCATCGTCGTTCGCGTTAACGACGGATCGTATCTACCGCGACGCGGATATTTGTCCTGCTGCGCGTTAAAAAGGGCGAGCGATAATCAATCTCTGTTAACCGGGGACAAAAGTATCGCGCTCGACGTCGTCCCAAAACAAACACGTAAACAGTAATCCATCTTCCGCGTTCTTTCATCGTCTCTTTCGCGCATTGTCCAAAATTTCGCTCGCATCAACAGCGACGTGTGTAGCGAGTTACCTTCGTTAGCGTGTAACTGTTTCCCTGGCAAGCGGAAAACGGACGATGTATGATTTAACGCTAGCGCGAAAGGAGGATACAATTATGACTCGCTAACCGTCTTCTTCTCCAACATCTAACTATATAATCTTGACTACACGCGCTCGGCTCTCATCCTTATTATCTCGCGCGAGACGCGCGTTGCCCACGCGCGCACACATCGACAGGAACAAACGGCGCCGGCTTGAAAAACATTCGTTTTCCATTCCCCTGGGTACGTGCTGTACAATAGAAATCGCAACATAATGCGCGTACACGGCGCGTACACACACGTCGTCTTCCTCCGGCTATTTTTCTCGCGGTTATGCACCGGGTAGATAAATAATTCCCATTCTGGCGCGCATCCTCGCGATGGAAGCTACAAGCGCGGATATTCTTCGCACAGTCACCATCGCGAGAAATCATATTTCACATATGTACGTACACGTGCTCGCGAAGCGTGCCTTCCATTTCTCACGCACGTCGCTCGGATAAGTAACAATTATCCTGAGCGGTCGCGAAACAATGCGGATGTAGCAAGGCGGTTAAAATTTTCAATCTCTGCGCGCGAAGGCTATACGTTTGCTTGTCGTATTGAAGACTTCATTGTACACGATTAGAATCGAACGAAACGCGATTGCTCCGAAATAATGGCGTAGACGCGACTCGCCGCATCTATTAAGCATATGAAAAAGATCGCAATCTATTCTCCGAGTCATCGCGTGTAACTCGCCGAGATAATTGTCGCACTCGTTACTATCATCGTTACGCGAAAAACAAGCCTTAATGGCGATATACTTAGAGCTCGCTGATAAATATACAATTACGGCCTCTGACCTCGTAATAATTTCAACGAGACTTACACGGCGCCTATCGCGTCCGCCGAAGGCGCTCCGCGTTGAAGGAACGGACGCGGGGCGATCAGTCTTCTCCCGGTCTACTCGATTCTATCCTATCTAAGGCGTAATCATCAACGTCGTCATCACGAGGGCAGGAAGCGGCGAACAAACGGCGCCTAGCCGCTCGCTCGCGCAGCCATTCTCCTTACGTGCGACTACTCGCCGAGCGAAGGAGAGAGAGCGCGGATTATTACAGGACACGCACGCACGCACACACGCTCGCACGTGCGTGAATAATTACCTCGACGATTTATCGCGACGTGAAATCGCGTCATAATTTCGCCGTCTTGAGCGGCCTGGCGCTGCCGCGCCGCGCGCCGAGAAAAATATTAGCCGCGTTAATAATTAACGGGTCGCCCGCGGAGAGGACGTGCCGCTCCAACGGCTCCGCGTTCTCACGTTTTGGCCGCGCGCGGTAGCCGCCGCACCCGGTTTTCACCGGGTTGCACCGCGTTGCACTCGCGCGCGCCGGTGGCGACGTGCAATTTTTCAGCCACCCTCGTTATCTCGCGACGCGACTCGACGCGATGCGATGCAACGAGTTCGCGAATTTCACGTCCGCATGATGTATTCGGCTCGCGGGACAATTCTTTTTTCTTTTTTTTTTTTTTACGTGACGTAACCCGAATTCGGGCTTTCGCCCAAATACCGCGAGCCCCCCGCGTACTCCTCGCGGAGTATTAAATTTATGAAAGCGATAGAGTCGCTCCGGCCGAAAATTTATGCCCCGCGACGCGGGATTATGCGGAGAATCGATCGTTAATTCGCGCGCGTTCCGAGTTGCTTTAATGATTTATACAGCGGGGCTTGTACGAGGCCTCCTCCGAGAGGAAGGAGAACGCAAAATTGATTTCGCCGATCGACGTTTTTACGACTCCAACGCGAGAGAAACTTGGTCGAGAGCTTCGGTCGTTGTTAATGACTCGGGATATCATTGGGAAATCATCTGTCCCGTCGCTCCGAAACGAGCTTCTTCGTGAATCGCCAGGCGCGGTTCGGTAAATTACACGAGCCGTGACGAATTCGCGTACCGGCAATCGCCGGTGTTTCTAATCATACCTCGCGGAATGATCGCGCTATAAATCGCCGGGCGTTATATCATCGCTTTCACGATCAGAGATTCGTTATCCTCGATCACAGCGCGCGGTGCTTACACGTCGGGAGAGGATAATAGGATCCCGCGCGCGAATACATCGCGCGGATTCGAAAGGGATCCGCTACTCACGCCGGCCGGTCGGCCCGGTCAACCCTCCCACTTTGATAAGTATCATAAGTAAATCGCGATTATCGTTCGCGATATAATCGCCGATCGAGAACGGAGCCGGCTGGGCGAGCTGGACGGAGCGATGGGAGCCGGGAAATCTGGTCTCTCGCGAAATCGCCACGGGCAAAAATGCAAAAGCCGCGAACACGTCAATTGGTACGCGCGCTCGCTCCGTCGTGCAATTACCCGGTTGATTTCAGCAGAGGTGGTCTCGTCTCGCCAGACTCGAAAAGAACGGTTCTTGTGATGAAGCAAGGCAGAGAGAAAGAGAGAGAGAGGAAAAAAGTAAAATGAACGGTGATCGCGAATGAGGATGAAAACACGAAAAAGGGGGAGAGTCTCTTTAATACCTCGTGGCCTCTCATCGGGTATTCGACTGATCGAGAAGGAATCGCGCGTTTCTCGCTGCGACGAAAGGTCAGGTCAGCTTTAATTATCGTAAATCAAACGAGCGGCCGCCGCACCGTGTCGGCCGAGGAGGCCCCAAGTTGCGCAAGCACGATTATTGTTGAAATCGGGGAGAATATTGGCGAGGAGGAGCAGGGGGGGGAGACCGAACGGTGCCTCGCGAATATGCGAGGGAACGGCGATCGTGAAATATCGACCGATCGGATTACGCTCCTCGGAGTCGTGATATTCTCGCACGATAAAACTGCTTTTTTTTAATGAGATTATAGCACACGGTTCTTATGATTACCTTCAATTAATTATGAAATTATAAATAATGAAACAAGCGTATCTGACGTAAGCTTAAGGAATATTAACGATTTCAAAATCTGTCTATGTCAAGAATTAATATTAGGCAATGCCCATTTAAGCGGAGCATGTAAGGAATAAACATGACAACTTTTTTAAAAAAATGTAAAAAATGTTTATATAAAAAATCCATGATAAATTCTCATTATTATAACAGTAGATTCTAGTAGTAGATTCTACGCGTATAATGAAAAATAAAAATCCTCGAGAAAGATATCGCACAGATTCGATTATAAAACTCATCTTACTTTGGCCTTGTTTCATCGCGCTCGCTTTCATTTCGAACAAAACAGAATGAATCGTTTCAATGCAATTTTGTTGCAAAGAGAATCGTTACGGTGCACATTCGATTCAATATAACCGCAGCGATGATCCGCTATAATGTTACATGGAGCGCGAATTTTCATTCAGTTTTAATAGCCTGAAACTAATAAAAAGATATGGGCGTATACGTGTGGGAGAGAAAGAGAGAGTATCGAGGAAGTAAATCGGCATGACGTATGCGATTCGACCTCGCTGTTATCAATGCACTCTCCAAGAAGCCACCGCGGGAGGTAACACGCGAACAGTCGTATCTGATTCTGTTATTCGCTTAATTACACGCCTTAACGTAGCGGCGATGCCGTGCCGCAATCGAGTCGTGTAATACGCATCATCACCCTCCATTTTCCACTCTTTGCGCTACTCTCACCCTCACTGCTCATGCATTTGCGAGCTCTTTAATTCATTTAGTCGCCGTCGACGCATACGCGGCCGTCATACGTGTGTTACGCGCTTCTGGCTATATTCGATTATTCTTTCGCAAAAATTCTATTTCCTAGCCCTCCTATATTTCGAGAACTTTTTGCGAGAAAAATTTGGGAAAAAAAATTTCGACTACATATACAATTAAGTCCGGGCAAAATCAACTTGAAATTAAGCAAATGATATCGCTACGAGCTCGAAATAGCCTGTAGGGTTGTTCTATCGGTAAAGTTTTTAAAATCCTATCGGAAACACGTGCTACTTTCACACGCATGCAAAGTAATACACGATAAGCAATCTCCCTCTACATCTACAGGGATTAAGATGTATCGATTCGAATCAGTCGGAATACTTTAATCCGTCCCACGATGTCATCTCGTCGCCAATCTCGCCGGAGCAAAGCAGAATCACGATCTCTATCAGCCTCTCTTCGGATAGAGGTCGTAGCCGATCTCCATCTGCGTTGGATCCTATCTCCCACGCATGAATCCCGCGCGATATCGATCGATAAAAAAATCATCGCATCGACCCACTCGTTGTCATGTCTCTCGTTAGTCGGCATGACGATTCGACAAAGTCTCGACGAGCGCGGAACTTGACTCGCATTATTTGGATCCGGAGGTCGTGATCTGTGAACGGTCTAGAATACAATGGTGACCCGACCTGACTAGGCGCCGTTCGCTATTGTGACGTGACGACACGGTACGTCCGCAACGTCCTCCAACCGGAAACGGACTCTACCGCGCGACGATAGACGAACGTGGAAACGTTAATTCAATACGACTTTTGGGCCCTATTGTCGGCTCGCTCTCTCGAAAACCATTCACAATATTTGCTCTGCACCTGGATGGCAACTATATCGCACAACGCGACTTTTAATCCGATTTTCGAAAAGTCGAAAACGATAATCGCCTTTCATCATGTTGTTCGAAAAGGGGATCGAGGACTTTATTTCGCTAAGACTTTTTTTGAAAAAGTTTCACCACGTGTTATGTTTATTTTGCATGTTGATTCGAATCTCATCATTTTCTTATTCGCATCATTCGTATCAGTCTTGCGTGCGCATGAAAATTAGGGAAAAGAAAAACATAAACCGTTGGGTCAATGTTGCCGCGGCCACGAAGCGGTGGATGATGGTTTGGACGTTGCTCGGTTCGCCGGCTAAAATAACAAGGCACGTGACGCGAGAAACAAGGAACCCCTTGTCTCTTCCTTAATTCATCTCTCTTCCCTTCGCGGCATCTCGACGCGCTCGTCCATGTCCTTGCTCACGCTCGGTGCCGAGCAAGAATCTCTCGACGGTGTTCCCGGTGTGCTGCTGTTGCAGGTACCTTTGTTAATTAAGAGGCGTCATGTGTGGTCTCTCACCCCGGCGTGCGGACGCATCATGAAACCGTACACGAATGCACCGTGTGACTCGTGTCTGTCTCGTCCCGGGCGCGATACGTGGTCAACCCGCACAGTAGCCACGTGAGGTTCGAGGATGTGAATGCACATCGCGTTCACGTACACGTATGTGTGTGTAACCGCTACCGTCTGCCTGCCTGCTTGTCTGCGACGCGTATCTAACGGAGACACGACTAACTAGCTTGCCCGCCGCGGCTAACGAGGAGGGGCTCATGCTGGCGCCGCGACCAGGTGATCCAGGCGACGATACGAGACCGGATACGTTTCCATCCGAGCCCTATCGTCTATCCGATCGAGCCGAATTATCGGAAACCGATGGCAATTCTCCGGACCGGCGAAACGACGCGATCGCCGCGCACGTGTCGCGTGACATCGCGCTTGATGGGGTTACGCCTCTCTCTCGCCTGTCCCCCCCTTGTCCCGCGCGAAATTTTTTCCAGCATCGCCATATTAATCGGCGGATTAAGGTAAACGTAGCTTTCGTATCGCGGAACCAATTCGAAATATGTACGCGCGACGGCGCGAGTTGTAATTTAACGTTCCCCGGCTACGCGCGTATAAAATGAATAATGATCGTGACGCTCCGCGCGTTCACGGTCATCGAATATTCATTGTGGACAAGATTCCGCCGCTCCGAATAATTATCTAGAACCAATGGAGGAACTTTTTACCGCGGACTGACTCGACATTACAGTGTCGCGTGACCTGCCTCAATTAAGTCGTCCGCTTCGTGTCTGCATTTTCTCTCCGCGGCTCTTGTTTTCGGCGTTTAAAGACCTCGCTTCGGCCAAGACAACTAACCGTGTCATTGAACGTTGTTAAAAATACACGCGCATCGATGGAACGGCGACGCATATCGCATTCGAGTCGCCGTCGAGAGAGAAAGAGAGAGAGAGAGAGAGAGATATATCGAACGGTTCCGCGTGCATTCCTATCAATAGATTCGATCTGGTAGAATTGTCGGGAAGCAATGAAAATCCCATTCCATCTCGTTCCACTTTCCTCGCTATCGCGTGACGTTGCCCGATTAAATCCGCGTCTTGTTATCGCGTGCACTCTTTCCTTTGTACGTATCCAATGTGTTGGAAAAGCCGCTATCACGGAGAATGCTATATAACCCACCGAACAAATAGATCACGGCTACAAATTATACAACGTCCGTCCGATTCGACGAGAAGGCCGTAAACGCGCTCGAGGCAACTGCAATTAAGAAACTCGAATATAAAACCAGCCAATTCTAATTGGGGCTGACGGTTATTCCATCCGCGCTGATATTAAACGTCGAACCTTCGGCTTGTACGCGACGTACGTTACGTAATAACGTCCAAGACATGCGACCGGCGATACGACGATTCGTCGTACAACGCTCGCATACATCCCCGCGTATATGAAACACGTACAATAAAATCCCCAATGAATGCAGCGGAAGAGCTATACGCATGTTCGAAATGGTTAACGAACTGGCTCGCATGCTCCCAAACGGCTAACGAGAATTCGTATGGATGAATTCGCCATCAGGAGAAACCGGGTAGAATGATTTCGATGGATTCTATCGGCCATTCGATCTGCTCGAATTATCGGAAACCGATGAAAATCCTATTTTACTTACGCGTCTCGTATTCGTACGAGTACGTCGCGCGTTACCGAATTCTGTCTGTGACTCCGACGTCATCGTTACGTCCCCGTTCGGGGAACCCCTCGGCTATTGCCAATCCCATTGTAACATCATCGTCGTCGTCGATCGCTCTCTCCCCTTTTTCTCCTTTTCATTCGAGTCTCAAAGGCGGCTATATATTTTTTAACGCGCTCCCTTTATTTTGTTGACTTGAAAATAGCCGTTTCGAATGCGACGGAATTAGCCGACGAATGTGAAGCGACTGTCAAAATCCAAAATCGGAGAAAACCAATATCGAATCATACACACATATTGTGCGTCGCTAGTCGAAATTGTTACGATCAAATGCTATGTCCGTGTTTCATACATCTAACAATATACATCTAAAACAATCGATCGTAAGACAATGCGCGCTTCTGTATCGATGCCGCACATCAGTCGTTGTTGCAATTCGTCGACCTCGATATAGATTCGTGTTAACCCGTTAATGTTAACAGCCGTACGGTATTTTTGCCTCTATATTTATATACGCAACATCGTGCTCGATATCGAACTTGACAAATTGAGCACTGCATAAAAAATGGAATACGCGGGCGGTTTATTACTGACACATCGCATTTTTTAAGCTTCGTGATAAAATGAGAGAGAGAGAGAGAGAGAGAGAGAGAGAGAGAGAGAGAGAGAGAGAGAAAGAGGCGACGGTATAGGGTGGCACGTTAAATTGTGGCCCCCGGCCAAATGTCGCACGGGGATAAAGGTCTAACCACTCGTTGGCGGAAAATACATCGGACTTGTGCACCGGTGCGCCGCGTAAATCCGAAAATTCATTACTGCAGTGCGCACCGCGATTGTTCGTAGCCGGCATTTCCTAGTCGGCCTGCGCGAAGCGACGCTGCATTAATGGCCGGGCGTCAGGATTTACAGGAGGGACACCATTGTGTTGACGGGCAAATATAAAATTTTTCACGGCTCCGATAGAACACGCGCACACCCGTGAATAATGATCATCGTCGAATTAATAACTGAAACGTGAATTACGATTATGGCGTATTTAGAATGTAGACAATCTCGACTCCGGACGTGCAGCTTCGTCAAATTTTCGCCGATTATATACGAAACGTTAAGTAACGATAATAATATGGAATCGATTCAATACTACGCTATAGCAAGTTCTAATATCTTTGTCGCATTTAATTATTAATTTTAATATACAAACTGTGCGTTAGTTTGCAGAATAATAAATATTAAATTTAAAAAATTGTTTTATTTTAAATAATAATAATATAGATATTTATGATATTATTATATGCATTATAAATGCATATGAAAAATAAAAAGCAGTTTAAAAAAAAACAATTTCTTTTTGTATTAGAAGGTGAAGATGCCGCAGAGGAGGAGGACGCGTATCTGGAAGAAGATGATGTGCCTTCGGCTACGATAGCCAGCGATACCGAGTTGATTTCCGAAGGTGGCGGTCATCTACCAGTTTTTCTCACGGAACCCGTAAACTCTTTTGTCGTGAAGAACAAACCCGCAACTCTGCATTGTAAAGCCGCTCACGCGCTACAGATTTATTTCCGTTGTAACAACGTGAGGGCGGAGGAGTCTCAGCAGCAGGATTTCGTAGATCCCCATACGGGAACAAGGATCGTCGACTGCGAACTCAATGTCACGAGAGATCATATCGAGGAGTACTTTAGCAAGGATAAATTCAAATGCGAATGCATCGCTTGGTCTGGATCAGGGCAGATTAAGAGTCAACCGGCAATTATCGATGTTGCTTGTAAGTAATACGCATACGTAAAAATAAAATTGTATTAATAATCTTCTTAAAAAGATTCTAAATGTCTTATTCCACGGTTAAAATTTTTTTAAAAAACTTTTTCTGAATAAAATGCTGCAACGTGTAGCTATATTATCATAGCAAATTACAACACGTGGCTTATATTTTCTTATTTTTAAGTCAAACAGGTCTTACTCTCGGTGTGTAGTTAAAGTACGTGAATCAAAGAGGTTTGAAATAAACGCCGCGAGGGGGGGGGGATTCTGGGGACAGTCGACTTTTCGTCTCACTTTGCCTTTGTTCCGTCGTAATTATCTTGATTCTCCTGCCAACGAAGTCGTTATTTAATTCTGTCTCTTAATTGACGACAATGCAATGAGCGTCGAGTTTCCAAGAGAATCAATTTAAAGGGACAACCACTTGGCCAATTTCAGTTACATAACTCAAATACTAAATGTAAAAATGCGTTTCAAGAGATAGAAAGATACATCGTATATATTACCGAAAAAATTGAAGATATTGCGTAATATAAAAAAAAGATCTGTATATATATATGAACCAATTTTTTCTTTCAAAAATATTAAAATTAAAAAAAAAATAATACTTTAAATTTCATAAATTTTAATTGCATTTTATTCTTTTTATTATTATTCACGTTTATCAAGACGGGCACGTAAAATTATTTTTTTCAGACTTGAAGAAACAGTTCGAATCGCCACCGTACTCTGTATCGGTCGAAGCAGGTCAAAGCACCGAACTCAGATGTTTGCCTCCAGTAGGAGTGCCACCACCTAGAGTTTACTGGTTAAGAAATAATGTCCCCGTGGACACTGAGTCGGATACACTTCTCGTGTCCAGCGAGGGCCATCTACTTATTGGTCAAGCGAAACTTAGTCATCAGGCCAATTACACGTGCGTCGCTGAAAATATTGCCGCGAAACGACTAAGCGATCCAGTTAGCTTAACAGTATACGGTAAGAGTTCGTACGATTCTTTTTCTTTTTCAAAAATTATTTTTTGTATGTATAATTAATTCTACTTATTATTATTTCCCGGCATTTTACGCATCTATTGCACGTTCAATATCTAAACAGTAATATAATTTTTTAAAATTATAATAAATAATTAATATTAAAGTTAATGAAAAATTAATAAACACAAATTTCTTGTCGCATATCGTTTCAACAATATTTTTGTTGGTTTCGATTAGTTAACGGTGGCTGGTCTTCCTGGTCGTCTTGGTCGGAATGCCACTCGCGATGCGCGAAAGGCGGTCAGAAGAGGACGAGAACGTGCACGAATCCAGCGCCCATGAACGGCGGCCAGTCGTGCCTCGGCCCGGCTCAGCAAAAGATGGACTGCAACACAGCTTGCCCCGGTGAGTCCCCTTGAATTCATTATCCGCGCGCATTAGACTTTCACAGAAGAAACCTTTCTCTATCGAGAAATCCTCTATTTTCATATATTTCTTTGTTCTAATCTACTTGAGATAACGTCAAAGTAGTTAATGTGTAACAAGCGAAAAAGATGCCTTCCTCTTTCTCCTCATAACTCGTGTCGCGCAAACGATGGACGAGTAGGTTTTGCCATCGCGAGACGATATTACTGATGCTAAAGAGAGAAGAAGTCTCGCTTGATTTACGACCTGATCTCCTCCCCTTCCCTCTCTCCGCTCTCTTTCCACGTCGAGCGTATCTGTTGCGCACGTCATAGGCTCTTTGTGAAGTCTTTTAAATCGTATTCACCTTTCGAAACGTTTGCGACATCTTAAAAGCATCCGTGACTATCCTCGTAAAGAATACGGGCACTGCATGCAAACAATTGAACCTGGGATAATGTTCGAGGAAAATCGATAATGTTCGCTTTACACGTCGATGATTGAGACATTGATCGATCTGATATTCTTTTGGCATTTTCACGACGCACTTTTTATTCCCCTTAACGCTCGCTCACTTTGGAATAGCCGGCCCTTTGGAGGAATTCACTAACACCCTGGGTAAGTCCTTCACATGTGCATGAATCATGGCCCTCGGCCACGGACGAAAATTAAACCGCGACCGCAGCTACGACCGCGCATGTAAGGGTGTTTTAATAAAACGTAGTAAACCGTAGCGTTGGAAAGCAAGCGTGCCGCACTGTTTATCCGGTGGCGCTTAAGTGCCAATAAAGCAGCCGGCTTTGGAGCGAGAGACCGAGGACGTAAACGGGTTCGGCGCGATTAGGTCCTGGTTCTTTTCTTTTCTCCTCCACGCTTGATGATGACTCGAAGGAAAAACGTGTCGATACGAGTCAATTATACGAAAGGGAAATAAACGTCGTGGTAAGAGCCGGTAACAACGGCAGTAAACGTAACCGAATTGACAAGTATGGTCTTCTCGTAACAAGACCGCGAAGATTCGCGCGGAGTTACGAGCCCGTTTTGTCCTGTTAAAGTTTTTTATTGTCGCTCGATCGGACTTGTCTTAACAACTTGGAACGAAGCGAGAACGAACTCGATCTTTTTTTTCCCGCCAGTTGTGGACGGCGGATGGTCCAGATGGTCGACATGGTCGGTGTGTGGGAGCGATTGCACTCACACGAGGAGGAGATCGTGCGACGAGCCGCCACCCAGCCACGGCGGGCGATCTTGCCAGGGCAGGGACATCAATGTGGCGAATTGCACCGGCGGCATGTGCAACGGTAAGTCACCGGCAAACTTTTCTACGTCTTGATTGCGTTTTACGCTCGTCGCAATCTTTTTGCGTACCGTAAAGTTCCGATGAGACGTCGCGTACTTGGGATAAGTTTTAAACGGATATACTCTTCATTTCTCGTAATGTAAAAATAAGTACCATCTTCATTTTTAAACTTTTTAAAATAATGACGATTTTATCGAAAGTCCTATTTCTTAAGCGATAATATTTCTTAGGCGGTATCATTAGTCTATTTAAAAGAGTAGTTTTTTTCAAATCGTTTTCATAATTTCTTCCAATTGTAACATTTTTTCGATACAATGGATCACGGTAAATGTAATCGTGATATAAAACAAATATCATCGACTAGCAGATACAAGCAGTTTTCCAAAGTAATTTATTAGAAGACTTCGATACTATCGAAATCCTTTAATTATCCAACTTACCGGCGCTTCCTTTTACAGTCAACGGCAATGTGAAGGTGGGCGGCGCTCATTTCACCGAGGAAGGTGAGTTGGGCAAGCAATAAAGCATTTTCTCGCTCTTTTAATCTCCGTCGATCCGTTTCCTTTTACGATTTTACCTCGCGTCGTTTCCTCTGCCGTTCGTTTGGTCGGGCGCGTTCAGCAAAGAGAAAAGTTTCTCGATTAGATAAGCTAGGATCTCTCTCTCTCCCTCTTCTGCCATGTACTCGAACCTCCTCCGATTCGTTCCGGATTTGTACATGTTCGCGAAAATAAAAAAATAAAAAAACAAAATAAAACGAGATGAGGAGAGTAGGAGGTTCCCTCGCGCACAGGGCGCGACCAAGGCGTTCAACCGCAAAGTAAATGTCCTTAACTCGTCGTGCGACATTCTTGGATGGATTCTTCACGCCCGGTGCACGCCATTTATATTCCCGGCGACGCGGCGCTATACCCGACGATCTGATACCATTCAAATCAGATGTTTTATGCGCCTCGAAAAATACGGCAAAATAGAGAGCGCGAATCCAGGCGCGGTGAACATTAGCATTATTCATTAATCTGGTATAATAACGCGAATCGAGGCGCCCGCGTTGTACATCAGCCTCGTCGATCTCTCTCCGCGCGCTTATGCTAAAAATATAATTCCCGCGGATGAAACGATAGCCGGTCGACTGCCAGCGATATCGCTCGCTTTACCTCGACGTATTTGCCAACGCGTTTTTCCGCGTCAATAACGAGCTCGGAGCGCTCTCCCGCGGTACTATTTACTTTTAATTACTCGACTGGTTAATTATTGACGCTCCCGCGAAGGCCCGGCATGATCGTCGCGACCCCTCGTTTCGTCGATCCAAACAATCGTAACAATGAGGTAGCCAAGGGTGGCCCACTGGTCCGCACAGACGCCGCACCCCCCCTCGTCGCCCCTCCCTCCCGCCACCCTAAGGTAGCCAATTCTATCGACCGAGGCACATCAAAGTTGCACGCGATACGGCTGCACCCTCTCTACCCCCTTTGCGCCAAGGGGCGGAGAACCGGCTTTAATATCGAAGAAAATTATGTAATCGGTAGCCGTTACGCCCTCGTCGCGGAAGGGGGAAATTGATCGCGCATGCAAATAAAGTGCCATTATCCCATAGCGTAGACCCGAGCGTGTACACGACTGGATCTCTGCTCGAGGGGGCTGGATGCCCCGAAACGCTCCCTCCCTCTTGAATCCAGAAGTGAGTTCGATTTTCCTGAAAGCGGCGATAAAATATAGATGGAAGATACGGCTACGCGCCGCCGACGCCGCCGGAGAAACGTGATGCGATTTACCGCCTTACGCCGACAAACGTCTTGCGAGAACCTTGAGTCATCCCGGACGCGTCCCTGCTTTAAATATTTAAGACGCGATACCTTCAATCAAGATAACATTTAAAATGGACAGCTTACGATGATCGATATTAAAGTGCATCGCTTCAGCGAATTGTTATTATAGATTTTTATCTCGATGACGATAAAAAAGGAAATAGATAAATTTTTTAAATTTCTAATAAATCTAAAAGTAATAATGTAGATATTATAATCTGAAGAAATGTATAATTTTCATAAAATAAATATAAAGAAATTGATAAATGTTGATTGATGACAGAATTGAAAGCATTTGCACGATATCTACGATCTCTCGGGAATAAAAAATAAAAAATAGCTTCAAATATATTAGATCCGGGTTATGAAACATTATCAATGATCCCGAGGAAAATAAATATCCCGATACCCTTGAAAAGTCACTTTTTCATGTTGGTTCCAGAAGGAGGGTTGGGGCCGCACGCGTTTCCGATTTCGTCTTATCGCCTTCTGCGGGTAACGACGTGTAACTATTGCGTTTTCGAAATCCCTTTCCCGAATTCGTATGCATTTTCGTCGCTGTCGTATATATTGACGTGCGAGGCACGTGTCGAGAACACGGCGCGCGCCAACGAGGCGGACATGATCCCGCGAAAGGGAGTTCGAGCTCGAAAGTCACGTAGCAGGGTTACGACCTCGTATGGCTTTGACATTCTAAAATTGGAAGAAGCTTAAGAGTGTCAGGCTCGCATGGCAGGCGGTTGAGGTATTTCTCGAAAACTTTTACGACCGCGGGGACATTTTCTACGTCGTCTCGTTGTCGCAGAACCGGGCGGCTTCGTGAATGGTTAAGCACCCGGAAAGTAATCCGATAAAAGAAAAAAAATTGCCCATAATTCGGATAACTGCGGCGAGAGCTTCTACGCCGTCGCGTTTTACTACACGCCCGAGTTTTATTTTTTTCGAGAATTTCATTTCCTTCGGTTGCATTTACTTACATTATCCATATATCCGGAACGGCCCTCGTAAAACATCACGGTGAATTCATTTTTGCATAAGCATTTTTGCATAAGCATTTTTGCGCCGCCCCGGGCGATTCTCGAGGACAGGACGTATCTTCGCGTAATTTCATCTATACGCCGCATGCTTCGTTAAATACCCGCTACATTATGATGCAATCTTGGTCGATGGTTTTAAACCGCTTCCCACGCCGCGGTTTCCGTCGACGGATTTTCCCCCCCTCCTCCTCCTCCTCCTCCCCCACGTCGGACGCAACACGGCAAGAACTCAAGATTATTATTCCGCTCGTAGCGTGTTCGTGTCGCGGTACTTTTATTGCGTACGTTAATGACAGCGATAATAATGATCGGAATCTTTATAGCCGTACGAAATAACGCGGAGCTGTAAAACGATAAACTGACGCGCTAAAGAAAACGAGCGCGCGCGAGGGAAACGAGCGTGTCGCCGAAGTAAATGGAGAGGAACCTTAAAACTTTTCTACGGTGCTCATAATATTTAGCGACGCGGGAGCGTTTAACGCTGTCCGTCGCTTTTGGGCTTCTTTTGTCTCCACAAAAGGAGTCTCAAACTCTAAAAAGTAAATAAAAGTTACGACGTCGAGTATTCATGAGGAAACGATGCAATCCTTTCACGCAATGTATACTGAAAATTGCGAGCAATTTTCACGCCGTTTACAATAAAAAGCGTTATATCGTCGTTTTTTCTTTTTCTTTTTTTTTTTTCAAAAAAGTTTTCGCGCACAATTATTATCCTTTTTTTAAAAATAATCGAGAGACACGGAAAAATTCGCAATGATTTTTACAGCGAATCGCCAGATGGATGTAGCCTTGTATGTCGGTCTAACGGTCGCCTGTGTAGTAATTGGTGGCTTGGCGATTTTTCTGACGAGACTCCTGCGACGCAAAGGTCGCGATCATTCCTTGTACTCCATGGCTCGTAATGGTAAGCTTGTAATATTAAGAAATATATGAACGTGCGTGGGTGATAGTATTAAATTAAAGAAAAAAATAAATAGATAATATATCTTAACGTTAATTTAGCATGAAACGTAAAACTTTGTTTTTTTTTTTACAAAGATTAGATTTTCTCTCTTTACCATATTTTATGATCAATTAAACACACGAATAAAATAAATATTTGCATCGTAATATTTTTAATTACGCTCGTGGAAAATTGTTTTCTATAATATTTTCTGTTTAATATATCACAAACAGATAAATTTCTCGCGTGACTAGGAATGAGCAAGATACTATTTCGAAATTGACATAAATAGCTAACAATTTACCAGGTGAGAAAAAAAAGAGAAATTAAATTTTTTTTTTTTTAAATATTGCTAATAATTTCCAAACTTTCTCGTTATCTCTCGGTATAATATATCTCAATATATGCATATCTCGTGACGATGAGGATGAAACGCGCGAGTCGTTCGATCGTGGCTCACTGTAAAAATCGGAATAGTATCTCGGCGACGTTTATCCGCAGCGCGCAGAGATACCCACGAGCCGTGCTTCGGCCGTGTGCGTTTCAGAATTCCAGCCGGAGTTCTTCCCGGACCAGGACAAGAAGCTGAGCCTGCAACCGGACGTGACGGCGACCAGCGTGCCGGCCTGCTACGAGTATCCTTTCGATCCGAAACTGTCGATGTCGAGATCCCTCTCGGAACATCACTACGATGTGCCGCACTTGTCGATCGCGCCGCAACCGTCGCCGATGTCACCCACGCCGAGCACGTCGACTCAAGAGTCCTGCAGCGACAAGCAGATTCATTCCGATAGCGAGAACAGCGTCACGAGCTCCTACCCCTCCTCGGACTCGACGTACAACGTCGCCTCGGAGAGCGTCCGGCTGCCAAAATTGGAGGCCGGAAACGTCGCCAGGGCGGCGGTAAACACGCGCGGCGCCCTGCTGGTGCTTCCGGACTCTGGAATCTCCATGTCGGTGCCGGAGGGTGCTGTTCCCAAGCCGCTCCGGGCGGAACTTTATCTGGCGGTGCTTAACGAGGATCGTTACAGGCCCCGATTACCCGGTGAGTGCAAATTATTCATGGCCCTGCGCGCTTTACGCGTCGAGAAGCAGATGCCGAGCTTTACGATCGCAGCTGCAAACTTTCCGAATGTATATTCGAAATGTTCGCGATAACGCGATGTTATTTTTATATCAATGCCGTTTCGCACGTGCTTCGGATTATATACCCAGAGTTTGAGATTCAATGTAGGCCACCGCTGTATCGATTCTTTTGTGTTGCGAACAACGAGAATAAAATTCTCGGAAAAGAAAAGTTTTAACAAACTCTGATAAATTCGTTTTGTACCCGTTATTAAAAGATATATGCGCGTGTTAAATTACGTTAAATCATGTTTATTAGATAAATACAATTAATCAAGCGCGAAAGTTCAATGTAGCGGAAATTGTAACGCCGCGATAACGATAACGTACAATAACGGCATTAAGCTCGATAATGCATGATATTGCACTCGTGTTCATTTTTCCGCACCGTATCCCATACCCGGTTCGAATCTCGATTCCGTTTTTTTCCCTGTAGATGGGATAACCCAGTTATCGGCCGTGGTGACCTGCGGCCCGTCGTCGGCGACCTTCAACAAACCTGTGATTCTTCAATTCGAGCATTGCGCCGTGTTGCATCCGGCAACCTGGGAATTAAGCGTTTGGGCTTGCGACGGTGTTAACGTCGACGACGGTTCCTCGTCGATAGTATCGAAAGATCACCAGTCAATTACATGGAGCAGAGTGTTAACTCTAGGCAACGAGACTATCAATACACCGTTGTTCACGCAGTTAGATCGCTCGGAGGCTTTCATTGTGACCGAGCAGCTTCGCAGTTACGTTTTAGCCGGTCAGAGTTGCGAAAGTTCGATCGCCACAAAGCGATTGCGATTAGCGCTCTTCGCCAGCCAGGCCGGTCAGTGTTGTGTCAGAGTTTACGCCGTGGAGGATACGAGGGCGGCCATGAAAGCCATCGTCGATCGGGAGTCGCAGATCAGAGGCTATCTGCTGGACAAGCCGCGCACGTTGCTGTTCCAAGACAACGGGGAATCGCTCTGCGTCAGTCTCGAAGAAGTCGGCAACGAGTGGCAAAGCAAGTCGCCCACGGAACGCCAGGAAGTCTCGTTCCGGGATGTTTGGAACTGTCAAGAGAACGCCAAGCACGTGACCTTCGGCCTGGATACGGCTTTTGACCCGACCATCACGAGGAGCTACAAGCTGCAAGTCTCGCAAGGAAACTCTGAGAGACAAGTCTTCAGAATCGTTTACGACGGAGCAAAACAGTTGATCTCCTCGGGTAGCGTCACGAGACCACTCAGGGAAGTCACCGTGGTTAGCAGCGGACACGCTAACAACGCCACGACAGACCCTACCACGCTACGACCTTTTCGGTTTACGAGATCCTTGAGGAAGCAGCTCTGCCAATGTTTAGACCCGCCGAACGCTCTGGGTAATGATTGGAGAATGCTCGCGCAAAGGCTTCAAGTCGACAGGTTAGTGGCTTCGGCTTTTCTCGTTTTGCTTATTATTCATGCTTAATCTTCTTTAGATACGCTAGTGTGTTTATGCAGAGTGTATAAAATACATTCGTTAGCGCGAAGAGATCCATGCACTTCAATGCAGATAAAACAACACGCGATAGCAAATATTTGCTTCAATAATAAAGTCGGAGAATTTCTCTAAGATGATTAATATAATTGATAAAACCTATCGAATCTTTTTACATTTTGCATAATTAATTTAAAAAATGTCGATAATGTTTAACCGCAATAAAGTTTTATCATGGGGTTTCTAGTCGTTCATTTCGTTGTAACATAAACTTGCTTCAAACGCGTGTTCTATTTCGCTGGCAATATATCCGCTTGTACCACTTTCCTCGGTAATCACGCAGCCGGTGTCTTCGTTCGTGTAACAGGTACATCAATTACTTCGCGACTAAGGCCAGCCCGACCGAGCATATTCTCGATTTGTGGGAGGCAAGGCACCGGGAACCGACAGCGGTGACGGATCTGCTGAACCATCTTAGAATAATGGGCAGAACCGACGCCGCCACGATTCTGGAGGCGCAGCTCGGCCCGTGGCTCTGAATAAACAGAAAACCGGATCTCGAGAAGCGTTTCCAGCGGTGAGTGAAAGTCGAGACCATTGTACGCCCACCCAGAACGGGCAACCAGTGTATTGATGGGTGATCGAACGGCGACCGATGAACTCGAAATCGATCAGTGAATACAGTGAGCCGGATTGCCTAATGAATGAATACGCGAGAGAGGAAGGAGTGAGAAGCAAGGAGGCAGGAGAACTAGGTTCTTCGAAACGGACTCATCGAAACACTGCCTTAATTATGCGCGACACACGCGTCAGTACTTTGTATATAAACGTGCGATAGTGGCAAGTCCTTTGGAATTTCCTCTTGAGAGGGGATCCCACGGACAAGTTGAGGACCGAGAAATATTTGTATCCGTGAGTTCAAGAGCGATATAATACGCGTAAAAAAAAACCGTATACAGGGTGTATCTGAAATGATGCAAAATTCTGAAATGAGCTAAAATTCGAAAATGTGTGAAATTGACCAAACACCCGCAACGCAAATTTATTTATCTCTCAAAAGAGAGTGATAGATAACGTCAAAACCTTTTTTTCTGAAATACAGCCAATTTTTAATTTTTTCCCCAAACTTTAGAAGCCTCTAGCTCGGAGGGAGGGTTCATTTGCGGACCCATGTTCGTAGGAAAAAAAGTCTTATATTATTTTAATCTCTAGAATACGCTCCTAAAGTTTAGTGCATCATTTCAGATACACCCTGTATAATTGTGACGAAATAATTAGGGACTGTGCATTTAGACGGACATACATGTACATACATACACTAAAAACACGCGCGCAGATGAATATATCCATTTTAGATGGATGTTTCTATATAAATACATGTTATATATAGATATATATATATATATATATATATACAGGACACCAAGTAAAGTTCGAGCGGATCGACAATATCCGCGACACTTCGACGCGATGACGCAATTATTATCGATTTGTTAACACGCATGCACGCGAGCACGAGCGAGTGGTTATTATTTTTCTGAAAATCGTGCCAAAATTACTTCGGTTTCGTACGCGTACATTTCCGTTTATTGTTGCATTAGAATTTCGTGAATATGCCGTATGTCCCTTTTATGCGTGTCGACAATACAGAGATCGCGGTGAACACGAGAGGATATGATGCGTGTCGCTTTAAATGCGTTGCGCACAGAGTCCGAGCAACGCGATCGCATAAAACAAGCTAATTATAACAGACATGATTTAAATCAACGATTTATTTGAGAGATTGTATATTTGTTACTTTCGACGAATAAAATATTCTTGTATACCTCAGAGTCAAACTCATTTGTTTTCATTAATACTTGCGTCCCGTACTCATACATATTCTTCCCGTCGAGTAAAAGATTCTACCAATCAAGTTTATTAATTCGCGCAATTTTGTTCCTCGCGCTTGCAGTAATATATAATACAACATTCTCAAAATGTCTCTGAAAGCATTTCTCATTTCTTGACAAGTTTAAGCAAAATTATATCTACCTTATATTCGCCGCAAATTTGCTTAAATACGCTTAAACGAAATATGCTTAAACGAAAAAAAAAAAAATAGATGAAAGATTGCGATATAATCCATAAAATCCACACGGCACTTTTTGACGTGAAATCTCATATCAAAACTGCCCGTGCTGTAAAGAACGTTGTACCGTAATAACTCTGCAAACGTACTTTATCGGCATACTGTCAATAATTTTTTGCCAGCGAAGAAACATTCTTCTCTCGGGGTTGGTATTAAAGGCGCACCTTCGCGCGCGCACGAAGCAAGGGCTGTATATTACTTCAATTTCAGCTTGTCTCCGGACGTTCGACAGGGACAAGATATTCTATCTTCCACCTCCTCGATCTCGGCTGCGGCAGCTTTCTTCGATTTTCTCTCGTCAAAAATAGGTACGTACTTTTTATAAAAGTTGAAGAAGGTGGAAATAGGTGACAATGGACGTCGCGGGAACGTTGCAATTTTGAAATGTCGATACCAGTCACGCATGTATTCCCCCTTCCTTTTCTCTCGCGCTTTCTTGCTCGAATCGAGTTTTTCTAAACTTTTCGCGATTATTTATACAATAATGTCAATATAATTTGCCAACCATATGCCACATTTCGTTAGCAGAGATAGTATTTTTTAATTTCTAGGGCAGTATTGTCCATTGGACGTTTTGAAAACGATCGACTTCTTTCAATTAACGGAAAACGAATCACGTATAAAATCACTGGCAACATAAAGTTAGCGTTTGAAACGAGATATTTTGTTGATTAAATAAAAATTAATTTTGCTAACGTACACATGTCTATTTCAATTGTTTTGCGAGAGCATGCACAATTTAAATAGATTGAAACAAAAACGTTGCAATAAATTCAACGATCGGACAGAATCGCTCGATTATCGAAACGAGTGACGTTTCCATCGTATTTATATGTGTTAGTACGGTAAATTAAACTTTATCTGATTCAATAAATGCTTTATCTCTGCTGAATTGTGAGAAACTTTCGTCGCTCCACTGGCGACGCGCTGTGCCGGAAATTAAACGGGTAAGGCGGCACTCTCGACGATATGGGATGGGAATGTAGAGAAGCAAAAGGAAAGTATTTAAACTTCCTTTTAATCGCTGCAAAAATGATAAACATCAGAATTAACTTAGTTTACCGCACAGTTTTTACAAAAATGTCAACTACATTTCACATAAACTATTTAACTTGCCTAATAAAATTTCTTTATCGTGATATATTTTTTGATAAAAAATAAAAATATGTGTATGTTGCAGTATAATATTAACCAAGGTTATTTTTTAACATATAAAACTGTAATTTTTCATTCGATAAATACACACTCTGCAAACAAGTTAATCGTTTCATCATTTTTTTTTCAACTTTAAAAATATTTTTCCTCGCTTTTTTACATCGTTATTTACAAGCGATAATTTATTACGAATGACGGAAATAAATAAACTCTCTTGCGCTTTCTCTCTCTCTCTCTCTCTCTCATTTCCCAAAATATTAATTAGGACAACTCAAGAGATGCAAGTTTCCCAGAATTCAATCAACTTTTTACGAAATATGAGACATATTCAAACTAAAAAAAATGATCGATGACTCAGGTGCACATTTATTCGAAAATTAAAAAGTGCTCGGCACTAAAGAAGCGCGGTGCACAATTCCGCTTTTCTTTTTCCCTCTTTCTTTAAAACGCTCCCCGTGAGATCGTTGCGTAAACGTAACGGAATGCGCACAAGTGTTTTTCAAGTGCTCCAGCATGTTGCCGATCAGACAGACTAAGCGCTATAAAAATAGCTCGAGAGAGCAAAGTTACTTCCTCTCACGGTGAATGAATTCCTTGAATAGATTTTGTTATTCGTTGATAATCGATTACCTATCGACACGTATCATCGTTGAATTTAATGAACAATCTTTCGCATTCCTTGTAATCATATGTTATACTTTTTCAAATTTTCAACTACCTTCATTAAGATAATTTGATCATATTTTATTTAGATATATAATATAGTCAATAATAAAACTTAAACAATTTTTTTTTCTTCACGAGAGATTCAACACACATTGACCGAAGCATTGTATACATCTCTGGCCTATTACGGGATGGCGTGATATATCGAACCGAGTATCGCATATCGCTCGCCATTTGAAAGACAGTCAATGACGCATCGGCATGTCGAATCCTCATTGAGAATGCATATGTGAAAATAAGCGCTCCGATTCGTTCCTGTCGTGGTGAGGCGCTGGGCGGACAGAGTCTCTCGTCTTTTTTCGCCTCGTCGTTCGCCTCGCGTGGGTATACTCGGTATACACGAGCGGTCTAGAACGGCCGGCGTTAGAGGCAGGCGTGGAGGCAGATAGGGCGTAAATTATAATAAAGCCGCACGCAGATCTCACGGCTCTCTCGAGCATCTCTCTCCTCGACTCGAGGCGCGCCGAGATGTTGTATCGACATTAATGACTTATTGGCATGTTGAATCATCATTAAGAGTGCTCGAAAGCGCGCGCTCCGATTCTTTTCTTTCGACAGACTTCAACGGGTTCCGTTTCCTCTTTTTTTCTCCTCCGTTGGTCTTCTTTTTCCTTCGCCCACCGAACACGCCAGCCACCTCGCGTGCGCGGATGCTCGTCCTTTCGTGACAGAAAGTGCAAGTAATAACACGCGTTGCAGCAGGCACGGTCATTATTTTCTACCGTTTGATCGCACGCGTGTGCGCCACGCGTGTTCCGGTCACGGCATGCGCGAAAGGTTCGGTATCGACGTGCAAATGACACGTTGGACGGAATCGCCGCACTTATTCGCGTATCCACCCGATCGAAGGATATCGTGTTGCAAGAATTTAAATTTATACCGAAGGCGACGCGAACACGAAACGCGCCTATCGCGATAATTTTCAAAGATTTTCATCTGTTTAACGCGAGAGAGCCAATCTATCTAAATTTTTTACAATTTTTTTTTAAGCGGAGAATTTTTTTGCTATATTTCCTATCGATGGTTTATTATTCGTGCGAATCTTAACGACACATTACTTATAGGAATTTACGCTCGCATTCGTCAAGGATAGTGTTACAACACATTACATCTAGACTTTGCGTAGACGCGCTCAAGATGCATCTCGCAGGAAGAAATACTCGAGATTGTCGTGTAAACATGTCTGATAAAATCATCATTATATTCGTATTTTATGGATTAGCATTTCAGTGACCGGAGATAAGCAATGATTTCAACACGAGATGAATGATGAATTCGAATGACTTATACTAGAGATTAGAGATTGAATTTTTTTCGATAACGATTATATGAAAACAAATTGACGAATATTTTTTAACAACGAAAACATAACGCCTAATAATGTCTAATTACAAGGAGGAAAAATCTATCTTACGTATTATACATTGATATCTTTAATCAACATGATTATGTCTCTCGAGAGATATTTATGGGAATTATGCAAAGATATGCACACATAAAGCGTAAAGGAGGTAATACGATAAACATACGTTTACGTAAGTGCGTAACACGCGCGAGAATTTCGCAAAGTAGGCGTCGAAAGCCACTTATCGCTGATTTATGACGCTGTTGCCGTCATTGGATCGCGCGGAAAAAGGCCGCGAGTATCTTCCGCGATCTTCACCTCTCGACACACGACGTTTCGCGAAACGCCACGTCTGCGAAATCTTGCAAATCCCCGAGAGACATGTGTAAATACGAGACGAAGATTACGGTGCTCTTCTCGGGCGAGAAAGATACGTTTCAACGAGCCTGGATGCATAATACATGCATCGAATCTCGTACCTATAACTCCGTACAATGTCAACGGAGACGTATTTATTGCAGACTCCATTGAAAAAAGTGCCTCGACTGAGAGCTCGTGCATAACACAGCATTATTACATCGGGCATTTCGTCCCATGTGAAATCGATTTCGGCGACGACGACCGAGGCAGAGAGAACCATCCTCATTCTTTCCGACTTGCTCCAAGGAAACTCACCTATTTCACGATACGTACCTCCGGTCTCGAGCGTTTCTCCAATTTTCTTCGCTCATCGTCCCGTATATTATCCGCGACGCTTGTTGCTGAGATAGTCGCAACAACCAACATTCGGGTAAACAACGTCTATGCTTTGTTTTCAAGACCCGACACGGTCCATTCTAGCGCTGTTTTTACGTCGACATCGTTGTTTCGTCGAGGTAAGTTAAAATGCTGGTAGAAATGGCAGAGATCGCGTGTAGTTTCCCCAAGAAACATTTGTTTCCACCTTGTTTTTCAGAATGATTCAATGTCGAAGGATCCGTCGATTGTATGACGTAGATCAGATTATCCGACAAGTTGGTAAAAAATCTTGGATTCTACAAATGTCTTTCGTGTGTTTTGCAAAAACTCATGAAAGTAATAAATATATCTGAAGTAAAAATTAAATTTCTTCGTTCCAAGTTTCTTCCTTCTTGCTTTGAAAGTTTTCATTACGTTTCATAAAATACATTATCGGATTTCTACATTTAGCGATCGACACTTTAATATCCTCGCACACGAGATAAAATGACCAAACCATCGCAATTGTATCGCCGACGTACATATGTATCCACCCCTGCTAACCATTGTCGATCTGGTTCCGAAGACAACAGATATAAACGGATACTCGTTCGCAAACCCACGCGATTTTAGTGACTCACTTCGGGATATGCGAGAGGCGCTACGTTCTGTATGTCACTTACAAATGGTCTCGCGACAGAGAGCCGCATAATGTACGAAAGACAGGCGGCGGTTTTATCGTGCCTTCAGC